GGTTCTTGAGAAGAAGATTTTTAAAGATTTTTTTCTATATATTTCAATGTAAAACTTGGATTCCCTATTGTGGCCCCGCCCTTCCCCCGGGGGTCATGATTTTTACAATTTAGAATTTACACTACCCCAGCATGCTTCCACATAAGTTTCAGTTTGTCTGGCTAAGTGGTTCTTGAGAAGAAGATTTTTAAAGATTTTTTCTATGTATTTCAATGTAAAACTTGGATTCCCTATTGTGGCCCCGCCCTTCCCCCGGGGGTCATGATTTTTACAATTTAGAATTTACACTACCCCAGCATGCTTTCACATAAGTTTCAGTTTGTCTGGCTAAGTGGTTCTTGAGAAGAAGATTTTTAAAGATTTTTTCTATGTATTTCAATGTAAATCTTGGATTCCCTATTGTGGCCCCGCCCTGCCCCCGTGGGTCATGATTTTAAGAATTTAAAATCTACACTACCCCAGGATGCTTCAACATAAGTTTCAGCTTTTCTGGCCCAATGGTTCTTGAGAAGAAGATTTTGAAAGATTTTTTTCTATATATTTCAATGTAAAACTTGGATTCCCTATTGTGGCCCCGCCCTTCCCCCGGGGGTCATGATTTTTACAATTTAGAATTTACACTACCCCAGCATGCTTCCACATAAGTTTCAGTTTGTCTGGCTAAGTGGTTCTTGAGAAGAAGATTTTTAAAGATTTTTTCTATGTATTTCAATGTAAAACTTGGATTCCCTATTGTGGCCCCGCCCTTCCCCCGGGGGTCATGATTTTTACAATTTAGAATTTACACTACCCCAGCATGCTTCCACATAAGTTTCAGCTTTTCTGGCCCAATGGTTCTTGAGAAGAAGATTTTTAAAGATTTTTTCTATGTATTTCAATGTAAAACTTGGATTCCCTATTGTGGCCCCGCCCTTTCCCCGGGGGTCATGATTTTAACAATTTAAAATCTACACTACCCCAGGATGCTTCCATATAAGTTTCAGCTTTTCTGGCCCAATGGTTCTTGAGAAGAAGATTTTTTAAAGATTTTTTTCTATATATTTCAATGTAAAACTTGGATTCCCTATTGTGGCCCCGCCCTTGCCCCGGGGGTCATGATTTTAACAATTTAGAATCTACACTACCCCAGAATGTTTCCACATAAGTTTCAGCTTTTCTGGCCCAGTGGTTCTTGAGAAGAAGATTTTTTAATGACCCCACCTTATTTTTGTCTTTTCTTGATTATCTCCCCTTGTAAGGGGGTTTGGCCCTTTATTTTAACAATTTAAACTCCCCTTCACTCAAGGATGCTTTGTACCAAATTTGGTTAAAATTGGCCCAGTGGTTCTTGAGAAGAAGTTGAAAATGTGAAAAGTTTACAGACGGACGGACGGACAGACAGACGGACGGACGGACGACGGACAACGGGTGATCAGAAAAGCTCACTTGAGCTTTCAGCTCAGGTGAGCTAAAAAGTGAAATTACGATGATGAAAACATAAAGTCTGTAAAATTCAGTTCACGATCAAAGCTTTCAATCCTTACCGAAGATGAAATTGGTGTGGAAAACTCTATCTCTGATATTTAGTATATATATATATATATAACAAACTTAGATTCAGTTTAAGCTATCTAATCCGACATGTGCAATCCGTTTCACTGTGTATTCCGACCCTTTAATATAAAATTCCCACCTTGATCCGACACTCTGTCTATTCCAACTCAAAATTTGTCTCCCAGTGCATTTTGGATTAGATAGGTTTCGCTATTATTTGTGTGATTAATTAGACCCCCCTCTAAATTTTTTATAAGCTGTCCATACAAATGTAAAATAAACCATCATGCCATAGATTTTTGAAAGAAAAAGTAACAGTTATTTTAGCTATTTTAGTATTCTCATACCCCATTACGTAGGAACTCATTTCAAGTTTTACTATAAGGTTTGTGGGAATATTAGAACTGACAACAGCTTATAGAACATTGTTTCAAAAGCGTTAACAATGCTGAGTTTGATGAATTTTCTTTGTATACCACAAGGAAACTGTTATATTTGTCATTTTGGTTTAACTTTGAGGTGCAGTTTGTCGACTTTTTTTTTGTTCCAGTCACTGGCTCCTGTGTTTTGTTTCTAGCTTAAGTTATTGGATTTTTATTTTAAATTTTAACATGTCTACCTAAGTCTAAACGCATTGGTTTCGACACATTTTATACAAAATTTTATTATTCGATCACAAAAACTGTTTTTGATTATAAGCATTTAAAAAATATAACAAGATACTTATGGACCACAACGCTCATCTGAGTAACTATGGCCGTTCTGTTCTTCATCAGTAGATTCTTTTTCCTACATATTCTTATGTAAAACTTTGATAACTTTTTATGGCCCCACCCTCCTTAAGGCTTCATGATTTGAACAAACTTCAATCTACTCTATCTGACGATGCCTCCATGATTTTAACAAATTGAATTTACAATACTTGAGGATGCTTCTATACATTTTATGATGTATATATATGACTAATAATGGATTTGCTTTTCTTGAGAAGAAAATTTTTAAAGATTTTTCTGATATATCCCAATGTAAAAATTTGACCCCCTGCCGTGGCAATGCACTACCACCGGTAGTTATGATATGAGCAAACATGACACTACCCGAGAATGCTTCCAAGTAAAAATGACTAATCCTGGCTTTGTTTTCTTTAGAGGAAGTATTTTTAAAAATATTTTCCATATAATCATATGTAAAACTTTGACCCCATTTTATGACCCCGCCCTACCCCCGGCGTCATGATTTGTATAAACTTGAATTTACAATACTTGAGGATTCGTCTGTATTAATGACTAATAATGGCTTTGCTGCATGTTCTTAGGAAGAGGATTCTTTAAAGACATTGCCTATATATATATTCCTTGAATCTGCAGTATGTAATGAAGCTATAAAATAACTTTCATCTTTTTGGCCCAATGGTTCTTGAGAGAAGATATTTAAAGGATACAACCAAATTTTCACGAATTCCTTATTATCTCCCCTTGAAAGAGGGCGTGGCACTTCCTATACCCAAGGATTCTTTGTGGCAAGTTTGGTTGAAATTGGTCCAGTGGTTCTGGAGAAGTCGAAAATGTGAACAGTTTATGGACAATACACGAAAGACAAAAAGAAAGACAGATAGACGGACCTCAGACACTTTTTGATCAGAAAAGCTCACTTAAGCCTTCGGCTCAGGTGTGCTAAAAATAAAATCAGACTGGTGATTGTTTTTTTCCCTCATTAAACTCGTAAACTAGAAAGGGTCAAACATAGAGAAAATGACGTGTTTTCGAAGTTGCATCAAAATGCCAGTATTATTTATAACTGACATGGGTTGCAAAGGTTGAATATTACAAAGAAAACAACAAAAAGATGAAAGATAGCTCCTTTGGATTGAGGTGGCTAAGTTTAACACCAAGAAGGAGGAACAGAGCCAATGCAAAATATTAATTATCACTCAAAACGCTATAAGCGCTCACTTAATTACAGTCGCATGGAACGCACAGACTCCAGACATGCAGACACGTGGGATCTGTCCCCTGGCAAATAGTTCGAGTTGTCTTTGTTTTTCCTACTTAATGTTTATTGTTTCAGGCAAGTAAGCAAGTCAAATATAAAAGACAAACGAAACAAACTGTGGTAACATTTTTATGCGGCAATAAAGTTTCAGCCACAAATGAAAAAAAAAGAAATCGTCATTCTAAGCCGTCTCCTTTCGATACTTTGGATACATAATTTGTCATCCAGCCAAAGCGTTTACATTGCAAAGGCATCCGGTTACCAATTTTAAACAGTGTTGCCAATCTGTAGAATTTTTACTGCATTGTTTCAGCGTAATTTACTTCTTATCTTCAATTAAGAAAGTATTCTAAAGTAAATTTAAAAATTCTTCCCACCTGAAGGGAACCTTTTGAAACCTATGTTCACTTAAGTTAATTTTATGAACTATTTCGCACAGATTGGTTACATTCTAACACCAGCTGCTGAAACTTCATAAGAGCGTAAATTAGAGAGCTTCCAGTTTTTTGATAATTTAAACCGAGACACAGAAGTTGGGATGGAAGTAATTATTCTTCTCATTTTAGAACATTTCATCTGATTTATTATTTTCTCTCTCTCTCTCTCTCTCTCTCTCTCTCTCTCTCTCTCTCTCTCTCTCCGATTCTTTTCAAATTAACATTTTCAAATATCACACAAACTTAAACATTGACAAGCCATTAAAAAGCCATTTCATTTAAATCTGAAGATATTCGACCAAGTCTTCAAGACATTTGTCCTGGAATAAATTTGTTTTTTCCAAAAACATTTTAAATTAAAAAAAAAAAAACTTTTGAAGGCAGGTCATTTTTCTTGCATGTTTGTGAAACATGGGTGGCTTATTTTTACTTGCAGTTGATCCATACATAAATGTAATATTCCTGATGATGTATATTTAGTAGCTCGATGATGTGTTTTAACCATTTTTGAATGTAAATGAATTAAGGAAACAGAAGAAAACAAAACAGTTAGTTTATACATTTTTCCATGTTCAAATTGAAAAGCAAAAATATTCAAAACACACACACACACACACAGAGAGAGAGAGAGAGAGAGAGATTACGTACAATGTATATACAATTAAAGAATGGTTCATATAATTTAATGAAATACCAAGAAATCAAAGTTCAAACAGCTGTAACCCATGCAGGAGTCTTTCCACCGCCCAAAAACATCGATATGCCTATGTTCCCTTTCGTTCACTTGATGATCCAAAACACTTCATCCTGCGTTCTTGTATACATGCACTTTTGTAAATTATAGAAGTGCAGAAACTGCTCAGATATTCCGGAAAAGATCCGAAGACAATATTCTGAGAAGCAGATTTTGACACTCTTAAGCACCACTTCCTACTACCGAATAATCAGATTGAAGTTTCTTGTTCTTCTTTAAAATGTCCTGTTCTTATAAGGGTGATTGCAAATGAAAAAGCCATTTGCTGAAGACAATACCAGTGTTTCTCAGTGCTTAATACAAACAGATTGCATAATGAGATCGTGTTTCAATAGGAATTATGCATCAAAGGAATTTCAAAACAGAGTAATCTTTGGCCAACAATCCGGAAATACATGCTTTTATTAATGAGTCAGTTAGTAAAGTGGGGAAATCGAAATTGCTAGGTTTTAAGCAATCAATTAATTTTGAAGGAAACGGTAGTGAACAAAATTTATCGAGCTCATATTTACGGATTTCCTCATACATGGTATTGTGTTCCAAGGACACCTTTAACATTGTACAAAACTCGATATTTTAAAAATTCTAATTTGAAGTGGAGATATCTAAATGAAATTATGACAGTTAAGACATTTAGGTAAGCAGGTGTTTTTGAAGATAGACATAGACAATTTTGCAAAGCTATTAAGCAGATAATTCAGTATTCTGTAAAAATTGTAAAATATAAGAAACATTGATATATATATTTGCAGTTTGGTCGTAGCTCCGTGTTTGTTTGCCTGTATCGCCTTGCTTCAGCTCTCTGAAATCTCTGCCAGAAGACACGGGGTAAGTAGGAATTATTTGTGAGGCATATTGAAATACGAATAATCAAAATTTGAATTATTGCACGTCTTATATACTTCAAAAGATATTTTGTGAGACCCTATCTACCATATGGTAATAGATATATTTCATATGTTATCTGTAGAGAAATGAGAGTTTCCAGCTTTCACTTATGTTTCCATGTTTATGGACATATGCAACGTAGTTCTGAACTTGTATAACTGAATAATTAACGACTTTTATAATGGTTAAAAATGCTGTAAACTTCTTCTAAAATAAATTTTAAAGAAATACCAGCTTAAACAATATGATTAGTCATTATTGTACAATTTTCTCTGAAAAACACAAGGATTTTCATCATTTGATATTTATTCAAAACCCTTGGTTGTATGTATGCTGACTTTTTTGTGTAAGAACATCTGATGGTATTATGATTTTAAAAATTAAGAATATCTTGAAAAATTATCAATAAGTAATGTACTTTGTAAGGTACGTTGCTTATGGCTTTAATACTTGATGAACAGATAGACATTATAACATTCTTAATAAACGATTGGTTTGAAGGAATTTATTTTACCAAAAATAAATTTGTCTTTAGAGTCAAAAATAAGACAAGGTGATGAGTATACCAGAAATGTGTTCATGTATAATTGGAAATGCATATAATCCTTTATCTTCTTTGATATGCTTTCATCGTGTAAGTATGTGTCATAAAACAGATACATATCCTTTGTCGTGCATGTTTCTCAAATAAAACAGCTATTCTGATTAAGGTTGTGCGCTTTAAGGTATATAGTAGTTAATCAAGTAATCACACATTCGATAACACCTAGACGTATTGGATGTACAGAGAATTATAATTAATTGGTCAATCCGGAGTAAAGTGTCTGAAAATTTAATCTTTTAGTTCTCCTTAATGAGTAAAGAATTACTGATACACTATATAATGTTTAATGGATATCTTAGTCTAACTCAAACCTCTCGTAAACCGCAAGAAATAATCAATGACATGTAGTTTCGGGCAGGTGTTTACACATGAAAAAAAAATTGTTATTTTTTTTTTTTAATTGTTCGTTAAAATCTTTGATAATTATGTACGCAGAAAAAAAATCACTGAACATTTTTTATTCAACGTAACTAATGGATTATTAGATAATTTTAAACGAGAGACACACCCTTTCTAGAACTAGAACTTTAATAAATTATTGAAATCTTGAAATCATAAATACATTTTTCTATACCCGATCGAGTAAATTCGAAGAAATCTGATTAACATTACCGACATATTTTAAGCTGATATGAAAATAAAAATGACCGAATATCTCGGCGATCATCAGAGCTTGTTCATTCTATGTTGCATAATATGTTGCCATTTTCGTTCGACTTCAAATATATTACACCCACACCGAGTGTTGTCTTTTTTAACTGACTAGCCTATATAGGTTTACAGAACTGCGTAGTGTACAAACAAAATCAATTATCTTCAGTATTTCTCCGTCTCCAAAAAGAAATCTAAAAATTCCAAAGAAAAAGATCGCATCTGTTATCTAGAGAATCAATACAATTACCATAGTTGTTTATTAAATTCAGTGGATGAAGAAATATATGACAAATGTTTTAGATTGTTTACCAATGCGTTACATGTAACTCTTTAATGACATTAACTGAAAGAGGAGAAATTAGAAGGCTCACAAGCCAAACTTACATATAAGTATTAGTTAAGTTTGACCGAATAATTGAATATCAAATCCCCAAATAGATTAATTTTGACACAAAACAGATGTATCTTCCTTCCACAAATACGACTATGTTAATTTTCATTAAAATGACCTTCACGACATGACATTTAGATATGAGGTTTAGTCAGTGTCATAAGCAATGACACACACAAATTAGAATTCATTCTTATTAGATTGCTTCAAAGTTATGGCACAATTTCAACATCCAAAAATCAACTGTTCTTGACAGTTAAGTTTTGACCTTGAGATAGAATAAGGACCAACTGTTAGACATCAGCAACAGCACACTTAAGCCTGAATAAATTCATAAATAAGCGGTCTTCGGCTATGGCTTGAGAAGCATTTATATATGGAAAGAAAGAAGACAGAACATAGTTCTGTAAAACTATAAAGTCTAGTTAATTACAAAAATGATCTAATTGCCCAGTGACCTTGACCTTTGAGCTATGACCTTAAGTCAAGATCATGACATACATTTAAGCATACGCAACAACCTACGAAATTAATTCCATTAACAGGTTATGGCCTTGACACGATCAGAGGGAGATATAATATAACACTTAAGGGTGTTTTAAGTCTGTAATTTAAGAAAGTAAATTTTACTCCTTAGTGTTGAAGTTGAAAACTAAATCTAGTGACGCATTGCCACAATTTATATTTTTCACTTATTAAGTAAAGTGAACATCAACTTCTGAGGCCCTTTACCGATTGCCGTCTTTTTGCATTGTCCTTATCGTAACTGAAACAAGTCTTTAAAAAATTTCTTATAACATTGCTTTCACTCGTAAAAAGACAAAAGTTTTTGTAGTAGTTTTTGAGTTATCTACGTTCCATAAAGAGTATACAGAAAATGAGAATTTCAGAGAGAGAGAGAGAGAGAGAGAGGGTGGGGAAGGGATGTTACAGATGTCACTAATCTTGGAGAATTTGATATTAAACCCATCTTCTTAATTATAAATTGCTATTTTAAATCTTAAATCAGATCTATTAATCATAATTTTTAATTTGAATTATCGTATTTTTGATTGCTGTACAAAAAACAGTAAATCTTGATACTCTCAAAATTGCATGTTAAACTAGACAGTTATCAAAGTCAATCATGATCATCTTTACTCTAACTTAGGAACACGTACATCCATCTTACCAATTTTCTATCGCTATTTCGTTATAAAAAGAATTTTGATTTAATCATAAACGCAAACACAAAAAATCCTACCATTAGCAATAAGGAAAAGAGATTTAAAATTAGGAGGTATTAGCTTTCAACACAGATGGTGTGTGGATATTTAGATTGACCAACCAAATACCGGTACTCACTACCGTAACTCACAATTGGATAGCCGGAAAACTGGACATTTACATTCGTGCGTGAAAAGAACTAATTTACCCACCCATAAATTACCCCGTATAAAGTGTTTGAAGTAGGCTACTTGAAATAAGCTGGGACCGGGCAGTATAACCTCACTACTTAATAACGGTGGAATTACAGCTGTGAGAAAATACAATGATTGAGAAAATTTTTATCACAAGCCGTTAAATTAATCCCTAAATTAAGCAATGAAACTCCCATAATTAGGACAGCCTTATCAAAGAGAGAGTAATTTTCTTCTGAATGAAATCGACCTCTTCTTTATAATAGTCGACTTTCATTCAGGATAAAGTTATAAACGTACCTTGTTTAACGTCACAGAGATAACTACTGCACCTGCACTTCAAGGAGTGACAAAAACTTGCTTGGTCATGTACTGAACACAAACATTGTTTTCATGTGATGCTGTATCGAATTTGAAAAATGCATAGAAGTAAGTAAGTACAATTAAATGCATAAAAGAGCAGGGTTCACTTAAGGCCTCTTCTGGCCCTGTAAATTTCAGAAAAACCCAAACTGTCCTGATTTAGCTGACAATATTCTTAATTCCACTTCGCTTAATGTGGCCTTCAATCGACATTTAGATATATCGACGACGCATTGTCAATTAAGAATAATTACTTCCACTCATATGTCGATTCGATATATCCCAGTTGGCTTGGGATAGAGGACACCACAAAGTCTTGCGCGTTTGTTTTATACTCGGATATTTTACTAGAAAAAGACGTTAAGGTAATCTAACAACAGCACTTTATGAAAAACGTGATGACCAACTTTTCTATCGTCAACTTCCCTTACTTATGTAGCAATATACCCTTATCACTTGCATATAAGGTTAACGTCTCCCAGTTGATTCGATATGCAAGAGCATGCTCTACATACGACCAATTTTTAAAACGAGGCAAGCCACTAACCAACAAGTTGATGAAACAAGGATATCAACAGTCTCGTTTGAAGTCATCATTTCGCAAGTTCTATGGTCGATACAATGACCTTATCAGCAAATACAATCTATCATTAGGTCAAATGCTGACTGACGTTTTTTATACTAATTGTTAGGCCATTAATTTCTACGGATTTTTCCGTTGACCCGATCATGACAAGAAGCACACGGCGGACGTGACCGGTCGACAGGGGATGCTTACTCCTCCATGACACCTGATCCTCCATGACACCTGATCCCGCCTCTGATGTTTTTGGAGGTTCGTGTTTGCCCTACCCCCGATTTGTATTGTTTAAATGGACTATGAGCTTGAATACTGTTCGTTATCTCCATACGCAATTGAACCCTTGTTGCCTGCGTATCTATTAAAAATGATTCAATTTTCTCGTTTGTCCATACATTAAGACGTCACAAATTGCGTCGTTGTTTTCAAATCCTGAAAATTTGTTCCAAAACAAAGGCCAAAAATTTAAGCTTTTTTGACTATTTTGCATAGAGCCCAACCTCTTATCCAAAATTGAAAGAACTGTTTCTAAGAGATAAAAAACATGGTAATTTTCGAGAGGGCTCATATTTGAATTCTTTGCTTAATGTTCTCAAATACACCCTGCAAAATTCAAAATCATCGCAGATTTACAGAACCTGGTTTTTAATATCTGGACTTTCAGAGAAAATGTTTTTATAGGATATGAAAGCACTTTATTTTGATGTTTGAAAATGGACATAGGATCATGGTCAATTAGTTGCAATTAATTGGTTTCACAGAACGGACCGAATGTGTACGTAATTGTAACGTATAGACGTCTAAGAAACTTAAATGCGATCTAAGACTGATTTCATCATCACCATCACTACAATATACGTGTACTGATATTATGAATACAACTTACTTTTTTTATTAAACATGTTTCTAATTTGATGAAAGTACCACGAACATTAGCTAAGTAATTTAGATTTGGTATGTTTAAAGAATTACAAGCGTATAGTTTTAGTGAACGGCAGCGCATAAAAATCATTAACAATAAGTATTTAATGATTATAAAATCTTTTTTAATTTGATTTTCGTGATGTTAAAATATGTTGTTTCCTGCGTTTTTCAGAACATTACCATTAAAACTCAAATTGCAAATCATAAATTGCGTTTACAATACTTAAATCTGCAGCCTACGCCTTTGATTTGAGTAACATTTTCCTAAGCACCTGCATGTAAGAAATTTCTCACTGTTAAAGTGACAATAGATGTTATTTCAATTCCTTTTATACGATGTAGATCTGTTTTTGCAATGAATATGTCATTCGACATTACATAACAATTGCAATTACATAACAATTGCGAAAGTCTGTTCATTTAGAGACGAACAGGTGTATCTGTAATGTTAGGGTACGTTAGAAGTATGCAGGTCTTGAGAGTATACTACATTTTGTATTATTATTTTTTCATATAAATTCTAGGACACTTTAGCTATTTTGAGACACTCTTGAATCCATACACAGTAAGGAAGGCCATAAATTAGATGATGGCTTACATTCCAGATCGAAGTTTTGGATTAAATAATTTTTTGACCATTTTAGAGTTAGGGATGAATTGATCCAGCCAGATTTTTTGAAACTACAATTCTTTGAGAAAAGAAATCATCATATATTGGCACTAAAGTGAATCCTATTCTACTAATTTGTTTTAGTCAATTCATCATGGCAGATCGAGGCACGGTCATTCAGGTGAACGATGGAGTCAGTGGAGTGCTTGGTCATCGTGTAACGCTGAGTGTGGGACAGGTGTATCGTCAAGGAATAGGGAATGCTTAGAAAAGTACGATACAAGATTGTGTACTTGAAGTTCTATGTTTGTCGTACTTTCTCTCTCTCTCTCTCTCTCTCTCTCTCTCTCTCTCTCTCTCTCTCTGTGTGTGTGTGTACAGTAATAATACAGGCCATCTTTATTTTGTAGTACTCGAGCGTGTACGTCTGAAAGTACGGAATACAAAGTTTGCAATCGACAGGTACTGATTGGATCACCACAAAACTATCCGTTATAATTTTAAAACATATAAGAGATTACAGAGAAAAATATCTATATTGAAAGAAAAAATACGTAAGAACTGTCCTTTTTGTGTCGCCTGCAGAGCAGAGCGGCACTAAGGGATCACTTTACCCGACGTCTGTCTTTCTGTCACACCCTATATCTCAATAACTGAAAGAGGCATTGATTTGATATTTTGCACAAATATTGCTTGGCACTATGGCTTTTGTAAATTACCATAGTAACTGGCCTCGTGGCCTTGACATTTGACATACTTTTCACCAAAATAGTTATAGTGCCGATATACAGCATATTTTTGACACTTAAGAGGTAAGTCTATGCTATTTAGCATGTGCACTGTTTGTCATAAGACAATATGAAAAATACCAGCATTACAATCCACTTGACCTCGACCTTTGACCTACTTTGCAAAAAATATATCGAACAGTTTAATTAAACTTATGACTTTTGAATTTTGAGAGGCAAGGTTTAGATAATTAGCATTTATACATGTTTATGAGCTCATGATAGTGTACTTTGAAACCCTATGATATTCAATTACCACACAATCATATATTTAAATACTATGAAAATACATCGGGATCGGTATTCCACAATGGATCGTGTAGACTTAGACTGGCTTTGCCTGTCTGATACGATAGAGACAGGCAAAATCCAGGCGCGGATCCAGAAATTGAAGTTGGGGGGGCGCAAGAAGTAGGCAGGGGGTCTGGGGGGCCGCCTTGAGGCCCCCAGTGGGTCCAGGGCGAAGCCCTGGTGGGGGCGAAGCGCCCGGAAGCTCCTGGATTCTAGAGATTTTGAAGGGTAAAAATGAGGTCTACCGAGAAGACATTTTTACATTTTCTCGACGAAACTATGATTTACGTTAACTTTGACAATTTTAGGGGGGGGGATGCGCCGGGTGCGCCCCCCCATTAATTCCGCCACTGATATCAGTCTAGTGTAGACTGAGAATTGCAGTAAAGACAGACTGAAATTGAATGATTATTGGAAACACGTTTAGCTCAAGAAAAAGTACTGTGAAACTGTATGAAATTCAGTTACCACACAAACTTATATTGAAATATAGTCTGTTCAACCAGACGCCCGGCTGTCTCCGTAGACTCCGACTAGCACGTCGGAGATTTACGGAGACAGCCGAGTGTCTGGTTGAACGAGCATGAAAATACATCGGGATCGGTATTCAACAATGGATCGTGCTGACTGACAATTGCAGTAAAGGCATACTGAAATCTCTTTTGGTGGATTGTTGGAAACTTGTTTGTTTGTTTATTGTTTAGCATATTTCACTCATATGGAGACGCCACCACATGCCGATGGAGAGCTACAAATTTTGACCTATACTCGGCACTGAGGGCCATTGAGCAGTGGGGGATCTTTTTCATGCCAGCACCTACTGCGACACGGGACCTCGGTTTATACGGTCTCATCCGAAGGACCAGTCTCCACGTCCCACGGTGGGATTCGAACCCGCGACGTAAGGATCAACTCCTTACTCCGCGACTCTAGAGCGAACCCTCTAACCACTGCGCCACGCGGGCGACGATTGTTGGAAACACGTATTAATATGATGACAAATAGTTATTTCTAATAATTTCAATTTAATTATTCATTTGAGGGTTATGGAACCATATTTTCTTTGATTGTCAGATTCTATCGTAGTCTTATACTATCCATGGATGCCATTTTTTCTTTGCAGGCAAATGCATGAACTCAATCTATCATGCTTATAGTAAATAAAAAGCTGGTCACTATTAGATTTATTTACACCTTTAATGAAGCTACAAAGCAGGCGACAAATGTGTTTCTTGGAACACTCTAGTTTCTGAAATACATTCTCCAACATGACTACTTTAGAAGTTATGTTGCAGATTCTTAAAAAAAAATGTATCAGAAAGGATAGAAGCTTTATATGTGTTTTGAAGGCATGATTTATTATTCCTTTACTTAGTACAAAAATCATTATAAGAAATATGAAATATCTGTAATTTTTCTAATATTCCGTGATCAAGTTAATTACTACATATCGATACCTGAAAAGTGCATCAAGCGCTGTTATCAATTCACTACTATTTATATTCCTTCAGTAGTTGACATGACAATTTATCTGTTCAGGACATCAATTCTTTAAATGTTTCATTAAAAAACTTAATGTTTTGTTTCTGTTTTGCAATGGAAATGTTTTAGGAATGTACATCAAATCAACAAACCCTTCGACAGCAACAGTGTTCTTCACATAACGACAAAAAATTTGGCGGTAGAAACTACCGATGGCAACCGTATGATATAGGTAATTATTAAAATAGAAGCTTTTTATTATGTCGCAATGAATTTACTGGATGGAGATAGAGAATCTCAAAGGATGCAGTTCATTTCTTTAGTAGAGTACGTACACTGTATGTCTGACAAGATGCTACAAATTTCGTTTAAGAATTTTTAATTATATTTTGCTCAAAATAACATTGGCAATGTCAAAAGGTAACATCTGTATTATGCAACAGAGGATGTAAGATATGTACACATAGAATTGTATTTGAAAGAAATTCCAAAAACGTAGATCAAGCAGAAAGATAAACAACATTCATGGCATATGTTTGTTATTGTGACAAGAAAAGATCTTGGCATGTGGAAAATCGTTACCCTCCTTAACGTTTAAAATTTGATCCAAGAAACACAATGTATGGAATTGTATCGTCAACAAAAATGCTTGTGCAGGGTTTAGATGCCATCGAAGTCACATCATGTTAAAGCGGAAAAGCGACACCTAACAGGAAGTTGAAAGAGATGAGAACATGTGCTCTCGTTTTAAGTTTCTTCCCCAGTGTTTATAAAATGCATGTTTCTAAATAAACTGATTGGAAGTGTGGTCCTGCTCAAAAATTACAATGTAGTTCATTGTGAATGAAAAGTTGGAAAGGCTTTTCTTTGATGAAAGTTTTGTTTACCTGTTACAGTCTCGGTGTTCTTTACCGTGCCGGTTTTGCTAGCCTTTAGGTTTGGGATTGCTAGCTTTTGAAATCTAATGAAATCTTAAAGATTTTCAAAAAAAAGAACAATTTGTCTCACTTTGATTCATGTTTTGTATGCACCTACATGTAATTTTGTAAATACATGTATTAATGTCTTTTCAATTAAAATGTGTTTTAATGCATGATAATATAAATCTTTCTAATGCTACAAATCAGCAAGGGTACTCAGAGTTCACAAACCTCTGCCAAGCCAGAACAATACCCATCCTCTAATTTAAATCTGTCACAATCTATAGAAAGTAATGTAAACAAACTATTATGTGCATGCGAGTTTCGCACCATCACTGACTCGCTAATGTCGAATACTTCTTACAAAGTTAATAGTTGAATATAAATGAAACAATTAACAAACCAAATTACAAACTAGACATTGTTCCTTTGTACTAAACCTTAGTTTAATGTTTACATGTAGGTTGCTACATGAAGATATTTATGTCGAAAGAGAATCGGAGGATTAAAAAAAGATTCAAGACTTTTAACTAATCAGATCTAATCCTTTTTATCTTTTATAGGCAAAGATGAATGTGATTTAACATGTAGGGCGGAGAGATATGGTTTCTACAACACGTTTCCTGGGCATGCACAGAACGGTGCTCTTTGCAACAAAGATCAAATCTCAGTCTGTATTGAAGGCATATGTACAGTAAGTTTTCACAATTTCGACTGTGCATTTTGGATATTTTTTTTTTTTCATGTTCTTGAAGCAAATACTTTTTTTGCTATGAAATATAATCGGAATAGTGTCATATACAAATTGTAAAACATGAAATAAAGGTTGTATTTAAAGTTGACTAGGAATGTCAATTTTTTTCAATAATTCATATTCGAATATTCAATGAAAGTATTCGAATATATTCGAATATTCGATAAAATAAATAAAATCTGGTATATTTTAAATATGCATCATCCTACTCTCATGAAAGGTTTAGTGTAGGTATTCTTATATTTGAAATAAAATTGTATGAAGACTTTTGTGGGTGTACAATAAGGAATTCCATTTGATACTTGCCAATGTTTGAAATAAATAATTGATTTAAATGTTGAAAAGTATAATTTTAACAAATGATATATGTGTATTTATAGTAGCTCGAAAGGAGGAACCAGTCGTATTACCAAAGGCAAGATAGTCGTATACTGTTCAGATTTCAATATGTGTAATTAATTACAATTATCAGCCTAATCAGAGATATGATTATAATCTTATGATACAATGTTTTTAAAATATAAACAAACAATTCCATAGACAATTTTCCTAGGTATTTAACTAATTTCCCGATAATGAATATAAAATTCAGGATTATGTACAACCCGAGATTATCAAGTGATTTACACATTTATTCTGAAATTGAGCCCTATACAATATTAATTACAGACTAATTCTATCGGACATTTATTTGAATGATCAATTAAATTTGTTTTGAATAAGTATACTGTTCACGTCTTTTAGACATTCTAATAAGGTTTTCATTTCGTTGTCCTCGATTCTAGATCCGATCGTATTTAACTAATAAAAAACTACGAAAGTACGTTTTGTATTATATAAAGCATTATTATTATAATTCCTAAACACCTTACTCAAAAAAAATAATTTAGTAGATCTATATAAGATAAGAAAATATTGAAAGTAATCGGGCGATCGAAATTGATCGCTAGTAAATTAAACAGGGGTAATAAATTCCAGCACTGTTCTAATCAAAATTTATTATTCACAGTACTTCTTTTTATGAAATCTGAAAAACACTGAATATTCGAATCTTATATTCATATTCGAATATCAACGCATCGAATGAATATTCGAATGTTCGAATATTCGTTGACATCCCTAATTTAAACCCAACCAAATAATTCAAACTAAGAACATGACAATGGTAGAAGCATTTTTAGCAAGACTATGTGACATTGTACATGTTTCAATTTAGAATGTAGGATGTGATGACGTAGTTGGTTCTAAGACAACTCGTGACGTTTGTGGTGTTTGCAATGGCGATGGTTCAACATGTCGCATCGTCAAAGATGTATTTGAAACCACAAAATTAAATTATGGTTACAATGAAATAGGAACTATTCCGACAGGAGCTACAAACATCAATATTACTCAATTGGGCCAAAGTAGAAATTATATAGGTATGTTATATGATAATTTCTGTCCACGAACATATTTGAAGAAATTTGTTTTCTTGAAATTGCCTGAAACCCCTTGTTCAAGGAAGAACTATCTGACTTGTGTTATCCTGGAGTCGGTTAAAAAAATACGAATTTCATTTTCATTTTCTTAAAATTTCACCGGAACTGGACGCCAGTAATTGCAATTGTTGAACAATGGATGTCTGTAAGACTTTTGTTAGCGGAATACTAAGTTTTTTGGTGCATGAATGTTACACATACAACTTTTAATTTTAAAATAATTTTGTTGTTATAATGAATTCGAACCAGCCAGCTACTAACCATTCGTAACATAAACAGTGTTATTTAAATTTACCGCTCCAAGGTTTATTCATAGGTATGGTAGTTTCAAAGAAGAAGAATTGGTTCATTTTCGTATTAAGTGAACCCGTTTTGGTGCTGAACATAGCTTTGGCGGTGTTTAAATTAGTATATAACTGGCAGAGATATTTGACAAAAAAGTAATTCAATCTTAATTTGTTGATTCAAGATTTTTCTTTTGCATTGTTATAGTAGATGTATTTTGTTGATACATGTGTATCATATAGAGTTCTCAATTCATTTGTTAGACATTTGCTATATGTGCAGTAGGACGAGAGAATATTTGAAGGTTTTGTATAGATATATTTACATCCACTAAATATTTTCTCCTTTATTCCTTAAGAAAACCTTAGTTTTTAATCAATCACAACACCGCTAAGCAAAGCACCTGTATAGATTTCTTGAGCAGCGGCTGTTCCATCAATGAAACATACAATGATGTACATTTCAATAAGATACTATTTAATGTACTTAATCCCATTCTATATATGATTATTGATACAGATATAAATATAAACAATAAAATGTCTTTCTTTCTTTCTTAGTACGGGAATTAACGTTGCAACTATTGCAGAAAAAAACTACACAACCTGCTTACGCGGGTTATGTTTTTTTTTTTCTGCAACAGCTGCAACATTAATTCCCATACTAACAACCAAAGAAAGCATTTTATTGTTTAAATGAACTTTTAACTTTAGCACTGCGGATATCGGGAGGCAGATACTTTCTGAATGGAAACCGGCGATTGTCACGTGACGGGAAGTATAATGCAGGAGGAGCAGTGTTTCGATATCACAGCAGACAATCAAATAAATGCCCAGGACAATGTATTTTATCGAAAGGCCCTACAACAGAAGCGATAGATATCATGGTAAAAACTATTTAAGGAATCACTGTCTAGTTTGTTGGGTATACCAGGGCGTCAACGATAGTTGGAAACATTGGATAATTTGCATAACGGGCGAAGCCAGTTATGCATAAATTATCCCGCGTTTCCAACTGTCGTTGATGTCCTTGGCATACCCAACAAACTTAGACAGTGATTCCTTATAGTTACATTTATATATGAAATAAAATTGTAAATATAAATTTTAAAAATGCTGTCTAATAGATTTAAAATACACGAGGCACCCCATGTTAATTTCAATAGTCCCCACCCACTGACGTCAGACAGAAAGATAGCAGAACGAGATTGACATGCACATTAGGCTTCTGACCTTTCACTTGACGAAATTCACATTGAGGTGTAATTATTAAGAAATAAACTCACCTAAATTTTAAATCGTTATTACAGAGAAAACAATCAGATATGTAAATATATAACAATAAGATATTTGCGCAAATGATTGCTACAAAGATAAGACTGGACTGACAAAATAAATAACGCTGTTAAATGAGTGTTTTCTTAATGGGCGGAGACATGCTATTTTGTCATGGTTGTCTCTCTGTTACAAAGTTGTGACAAGGCTATAATTTTGACACGCATTTGTAAAGTGAAATTAAAACTTAGTTTGTTCTTGCTTATATCCCATAGGTGAAAACGCACTTTGACTCAAGGTCATGCCACGAAAGGTCCAGGCTATTGGACCATTTTGTTGTAGAATTCGTGTCCAATCTCTGGAGGTTTGAATGGATTTAAACTGTAGTATTTTGCTGTCCATTATATAAGAATGTGTCGATTTTGATTCAGCCAATATTTTTAAGACAAAACCAATGAAAATAGAGACTGAAATCGTATCTTTGCTCTACTTTTAAAACTCTTGATTGGGGTTGGTTAAAACATTAGACTAAGTATGTAGTCCATACTGGTCTAAACAAATGATGCCACGATCTTATTTTCAGGTCATATGTCAATGTTACCTAAAGAAAATTAGATATTGAAATACTTTTCTTGTCTAATCGAAGAGCTCTGCAATGAATTTAAACGCTTATTTATGTTTTGCTAATGGCTGACGGCCATTTTAAACTCCAAAGTCAAGGTCACTGGATAATACGAACTTGAATCATGTAACAAATATTTTTGATGAATTTTCAAATTTATCACCTTGTATTTTGTAAACCATTATATATTTTAGAACATCTCATCAAGATCACATATAGTGATGAACCAGGGTAAAATTAATAGCGTGGAAAAACATAATTTTTTGTCCGAAAAAATCTATAATTCCCAATTATTAATTATGACATACTAAAAGAAGTGTTGGGAATAAGCTTATCATTTATTATAGGTTCTTTCTTTCGGACACAATCCTGGGATCTTCTATCAATTTAGCTTGCCGCATGGTCCGAAATCCCAAAAATCCTTATACGATGCAATTATAGTTGAAGACGATTTTGGCGGGAGTCATAATATTTCTCGCTCTGGACATGGATCTGGAATACCTAGTCCTTCATTAAATATCACCAATTCCAAAAACCATACAACCAGTGGATCTAGCGCCATGCCTGGCTACACACAGAGTTTTACCTTTATGGAGAAAATGAATAAAAAGTCCAATGATTCTTCTCAAAGAGGCGCTCTCACAGAATCAGAGACTTTCTATAAGTCTCAGTCGGACAAACAACGGCAGACAATAAGGACCGATCCTTCATTTGACGATAATGCTATTCCGAGTGCCGATGGATTCCGATGGGAAATCACGGGATATACTCCATGTTCAGCAACATGTGGCCAAGGTAAAATGAAAATAAAAATAAAGAATCTTAAAAGACAATCAAAACATGTACAATTTAGATACAAAGAATTTATTTCATTTCAGTTTGTGGAATTATATACATGCATACATACACACACATATATATATATATATATATATATATATATATATATATATATATATATATATATATATATATATATATATATATATATATATATATATATATATACTGTTCAGTCTCCTCAGAGTTTAACTTAGAACTTGTATCAATTATTTTTGAGGTCTTTTGATGACTTCTTTGCTTCAAAGGTACGAAATCACCTTTCTTGGAATGTTTTTATGGAAATACACGGGTAGAAGAAAATCGTTGTTTGATGGCGACAAAACCTGGACTTGGATCACAACCCTGTGCTCTAAAGCCTTGTCCAAAATGGGAAAACCAGTAAGTATTGAAACAACGCTCACAAAATATAAAAGTTATATAAACATACTATTATGTATATGTATAGTGGCTTATAATCCTTGGGAAAAATCAACCAACAATTTTGATGTCCGATGTCCTTTTTATGTAGTTTCTTTTATAATCTTTCATTGTAAGTTGAAAATACCGTATATATCTAATTTTCAGGATACGATATGTGACAAGGTTTGTCTTAAACAAGTTTATTATGTGATATGCATGGTGCTAAGTATCATATTGATATCAATAGCATGCCATTCTCACTGAATGAATGGTGATGGTTAAAATGATGTTTTATTTGAATGATATATACGTTAAAGAAATGTAAAAAGCACCAACCGAAGATATGGAATTTTCTGCAAAGTGCCAAAATTTTACACACATGTGGAGGTAGGAATCCATAGAAAAAGCATTCGATCTTCCATACTAGCTATGATGGAGGCAGAGCTTATTTCTTCTGAAACTTAGACGGCTATAATAAAATAAAATTATTAAAATCGAACAAACCCATAAAATTAGGGTTTATAAAAACACCACTATGGACCAGTACAAGATTATTTTATTTACTTTAAATTAGGAGCTTGAATAATGATGTTTGGTCATAAACTTAAAAAAAAATCCCCTCTTAAATAGGTCACTCAGTAACGGTAAAACATTTTCATTATATATATTTATTTAAATACATTTTAGAGTAAGGTCCTTCGTTTCTTGAATTTTAATATATACGTAAAAAATGAAATTAAGACTGTGGACTGTTGCTATGAGAATGACAGACCAGTAACTTAACTTTTGCAGTCGTTGGCAGCCCTCTGATTGGTCAGCATGCAGTGTCACGTGTGGGGAGGGCCAGCAAACTAGAAAATTAATGTGTGTCCATGAGATTTCGGAAAATGTTTTTGAATCCGTCGTGGATAACGATTGTTTGGGTTTAGAAAGACCAAACACAACACAATCATGCAAAACTACACCCTGCTTTAAATGGGCAACCGGCAGATGGGCTCAGGTAAAGAGACACTGCTACTAAGATTCCTGTGACTAATTTCTGGATAGTTGACAAAGCATACAATTTTTTAATATACAGGTTACAATAAAGGTTTAAAGTTTCCTTTAATTCTTTGATTTAGTGTTTCTACTTTGAGCTGTAAAAGTTACTCATAGTAAATATAATGAAATATGGAGATAACGATCAGTATTCAAGCTCAAAGTCCAATCAAACAATACAAATCGGGAGCAGAGCAAACACGGACCTCCAAAAACATCAGAGGTGGGATCAGGTGCTATGGAGGAGTGAGCATCCCCTGCCGACTGGTCACACCCGCCGTATGCTCCTTGTCATGATCGGGATAAACGGAAAATTCCGTAGACAATTCAGTGTATAAATAATGACCTAACAATTAATATGAAAACGTCGGTCAGCATTTGATTTAATGATAGGTTGTATTTGCTGAAAAGGTCATTGTATCGACCATAAAACTTGCGAAATGATGACTTCAAACGTTGTTGATATCCTTGTTTCATCAACGTGTTTGTTAATAGTTTGCCTCGTTTTAGAAATTGTTGATATGTAGAATATGATCTTGCGTATCGAATCAAATGGGAGACAAATACCCCATATGCAGGTGACAAAGGTATATTGCTACATAAGTAAGGGAAGCTGACGATAGAAAAGTTGAAGTCATCACGTTTATCATAAAGCTTTGTTGTTAGGTTACCATTAAAATCTCTTTCTAGTAAAATATTCAAATATGAAACAGATATGTCAGACTCTGTGGAATGATACTTATCCTCAAGAGAAATTCAGACGATATACATGTATACATATGATATGATTTTATGATAAACGTGATGACTTTAACTTTACAATCATCAACTTCCCTTACTTATGCAGCAATATACCCTTATCACCTGCATACGGGGTTTATATCTCTCAGTTGATTCGATACGCAAGAGCATGCTCTACGTATGAACAATTTCTAAAACGAAGTAAGTTATTGACAAACAAGTTGAAAAAACAAGAATATCACCAGTTTCGTTTAAAGTCGTCATTTCGTAAGTAATGACCTTGTCAGCAAATACAATTTATTATTAAGTCAAATGCTGACTGACGTTTTTCATACTTATTGTTAGGTCATTATTTACAAACTGAATTGTCGACGTTTTTTCCCGTTATTTCTCGATCATGACAAGTAGCACGCGGCGGGTGTGACCGGTCGGCAGGGGATACTCACTCCTCCATGGCACCTGATCCCACCTCTGATGTTTTAGAGGTCCGTGTTTGCTCTGCTCCAAACTTTGTATTTTTTGATGGACTTTTGAGCTTTAAATCATGTTCGTTATCTCCATACATTTCATGCATACAAAGATTAAAGCGACAACATTATTACCAAAACTGTCTTTCATTTTAAGTGTTCAGTGACATGTGGACGCGGAGAACGCATGCGTAGTGTGACATGTATGTCTAAAGAGGGAAGACGTGTTCGAAATGACTTCTGTGATCCAATGGAAAAACCAGAGGAAAAGTCAAAATGCAGTTATGGAGAGTGTAGAACTGAGAGGGTGTCTTCTGTATATGTAAATATGAAGTCCTGGTATTTCACAGAATGGCCTAGAGATGTAAGTTACCAGCAAAAACAAGAATAATGATTTCAACTTCGAAGAAAATATTTGGGGAAAACCCACATTTAGAAAATGAAAAAAATATTTCATTTATTCCATTTGGATTGCAATTACTTATTTAATATTGAATTATACCATGTAAAATTTAGACGATTTTCATTTATTGTAAGTTTAGCCTCAGGGTATCTGTTAAATTTATTTTCCCTTCTGCCCATGTGCAGTGTCCAGCGGAATGTGGGGAGGGTAAACAAACAAGAAACGTTGTTTGTTATGGAACAAATGTAAACACAGACCCAAGAAAAAGCTGTTTACAGCGTGACAAACCGGAAACGGAGCGTGTTTGTAGCTCAAGACGTTGTTACGGAAATTGGTTCACAGGACCGTGGAGCAAGGTTACTGAAATCTAAGAAATCTCTCACTCCTTGTCTCTCTTGTAATCACGTACTGGTTAACATTTCTTTCAATGACCCAGACATAACTTTGATGAAATTTCTTGAAAAGGAAAACAATCTTAACCCATATTATTTATTGCATTTGCATAACTGCATTTATTATTGCAATTTCAAATTTTGTATTCAACTGACTAAAGTAAAATGTTCTTTTCCTGGTAGTGTAATGCCACATGCGGTGACGGATATCAGAATAGAGAAGTTGTATGCATCAGTAAATCAGATAGAGGAAGTTTTTCAGTAATACCTGACTACAGATGTTTACTACAGGACAAACCTGCTCACAGCAAATCTTGTCAGGCAGTTAGTCCTTGTGGGCCAGAGTGGTTCATGTCAGCGTGGGGAGAGGTATATGCAAGGCCAGGGAGTATACATTAGATCAAATAAAAAAAATAAATGTACTGATAACGTGTAATTTTATTTGAAAAAATGATCAACTATAGTATAAAATGTTCTATTTATAAAACCTGATAATGGTTCTTGCATACTTTATGTACAGAAATTATACAATAAAAGAATAAAAATATCTGAAAAAACAACCTGTTATTTCAGTGTTCTGTTACTTGTGGAAAAGGTAGAAAAACACGTGATGTGCAATGCTTGGACACGTATGGTGTTCCTGCCAACATCTGTGATATTCGAACGAAACCAGCAGGAGTAGAACTTTGTAAGCAAGGGCCCTGCAGGAGAGAAACAGTCTCAGGTATGTAATAAAAACACTGTAAAAAAAAATATAAAAAGAGTGTCTACATTAATTTTGAAAAAAAAATGAAAAGATCATAAAGTATAAAAATAATTGCATTTTATTGAAAATATTTTTTAGTTTTGTCTTATTGATTTAAGACTTGTCATAAGAAAAACTATCGTCCATAAAGTGTACGTTAATATTATCTTTAATAAATAACGATGAACTTCATTTGTCCTATTCAGATTCCGGATGTCGGGATCGATATTCCAAGTGTGAGTTGGTGGTGAGAAGAGACTTGTGTGATCATGTGTTTTACATGAACGTTTGCTGTAATTCATGTTCACGATGGAAATCTTGAACAACATACTCTGGGTGTTTGCTTTGGTGTAAATTATGTCTTTTATATTCCAAACAAATTGAATAACTTATACTCATTAGGTATAATTTCCTGTTACATCTTTAATTGAAGTTAGTTTGAGTCGCGCAAAACAATAATTAAGACTACCGGGTATATTTCGATACCAATTACAAGCAAGGAAGTTAGAGTCCGTTGTGGTTTTTAAGGAGATGTTAACCCGTTGCAGGCCCGTAGGAAGCAATTTCATTTGAGGGGCACAACCATACATTTTCAGATTTTAGTGGGGGGGGGGGGCACTATCAACTACCAAAAATTCCTTGACAAGCAAAAAAAAAAGGGTCATCAGACGTTTTTATTGAGGGGATACAAATATATTGTAGCTATGTTTTCTATAGTATTCTATATATTGGCAAAATTATTGGGGGGGCACGGCCCCCCGTGCCCCCCCCCCCCCCGGCTCCTACGGCCATGCGTTGTAGAAATAAAAACGGGTTCGAGAAATTGATTGGTTTTAAAGGAGTGACAGATTTTATATACTTTTTTAGAAGCAAAAACTGTAACTCTGTTACAGTTGATATTCGCTTTTATTCTTGAATAATTACTCAAAGAATAGCCGGTGTTGATTTGACCACATTATACTACGGTCGGCAAAAAATGTTTACTTCTCTTATGTTTTTTTACTTACATTGTAGAACGTATTACATGATTGTTCTCATTCATTGTATATAAACATCGTGACTTCTTTTTTCTGAAGTGTTATTGATATTTAAACATGTTTCAGTTTCATCAGTCTACTTTAATAAACTTTGACAATTTTGTATCTGATTTTATGCTATATGTAAGAATAATGTGAAAAGTTCTCATCAGCTTAAAATATAAAGAGTTAGCTCCTATTTACACAAATACCTTGTGGAACAAACCAAGGATTCATTTTGGATGGACTTGATGTAATTTCCATGATATTTCTAAGTTTGAAAAAGTCCTATTATTTGTTGATTATCCACGCTGTTTTCTTATATTATATAAAATAAATATTACATTTTATTAATCATGAAATCAGAAGCTGGAATTTGAACTAAATCATTTACTTTTTTTTTTTTAAATGTCTATAGGAACACAAACAGCAGTTTTACAATACAGTTGTTCCAGTTTTGCAGATCTACTAATTTAATGTAATACTGAAGGGGTTGAAAATAGAAATATGATAAGAAAATTCGAGATGATACAATTAAAGACATTTAGAGTGTATATAATTTTTGCCCAATCAGATAACCTTAGTGTAAGATTTACCGGAAGCAATCATGTTACTTGTACCTTTTTTCCTTCTCTCTGCGTCAGCAACGAATGGAATTCATTTAAAAGCATTATGACAAAGGAAAGACACAGGTTCAAATCTGCAAATATCTTTTATGTTTTTTTCTTAAAGGGTAATTTTTGAAGAATGGATACTACATGTAATTTCTGCAAAATGAAATGTAAATAATGTTTTACAAAAGTGATAAAAATTTAGTCGATATATATAAGTATTAAAGATATCCGCTCATCTGCAAAGAACGACGACTTTTAAATTTATTATCTAATTTAAAAAGTCTCAAAATGAAGCTTGAAATTTAAATCTTTTCGTGCAACAATTTTCATTGCGTGTATCTCAGTGTGATTCAAGGTTTTCTAAAGTCTTAGATACGGTCTTATAGAAGGTTAACATTTGTACACCAAAAAAGTACAAAAATTAATACATTTTTAGAGAAGTCTAATTTAGCCTTGGATTGAAAATTTATTAGCTGATATGAAATTAATAGTGATCTGTGATGTCTTGCAATGATAGCACAATTTTTTAATAAGGTTATGCCCTGTTCACACGGAGAGTTTAATTTGCAGTAAATTAATGCGAAGTAAAATGATGAGAATTAAACTACTGTGAATCAAATTGCGTTCACACGACAGCTAATGTGAAATAATTTAATTTTGTTTGTATTCTAGCCCCTGATTGGTTAATATCCAAAAAGGAACACAAATTATTTCTGCATAACCTGGTTTGGTATGGGGACACACCCCCCTGACAACCAGCTGAATCATCTGTATCCATACAATCCTCTCATTTCCAGTCCTCGGGATTCATGGAAAATTCCAGATTTAATAAATGTACCTTAAACTTCAAACAATAATTCGATCTTACCACATGTAAACAAGCTGCTAGGCCTATGTATCAGTTTTTACCTCCCCTCGCTTCCCATCACTTCCGTTACTTCCGTTAAGTACTACGGTTGTATTATTGAGCGGCAAAGAGCTAAATCCACGAAGGGGCTAAATCGGCCTATTTTTTCAGGAAAATTAAACTTAGGGGAAGAAGAAAATTAACAATAGAAATATTATCCTTGGGTATCAGACTTAAAAAGTTTATGCCAATTTTTATTTGATGACGTCATATTTATACAGAAAACGTCTAAACATGTGCACTTTGCTAGTTTTTATCAAAATAAAGCATTTTTTTCGTTTTTGGTTCAAATTTTTGCTGTGGCCACACTCTTCGAACAAAATAAAATTTATACCATTGAAAAGAGGATTAAAATATGAATAAATAAAGTATATTTTTATTTTGTTCGAGGGGTGTGGCCACATCGAAATTAATACTTTTCTTTCGATTCAAATATCTTAGAACCGACTCGCACTGTGAAAATAGCGGGGATTACCCTACATTAATAGAAAAGAAAAAGATTCTACATGTATATTGTTTTTGTAAATATTAAAAAGTTTCGAAATGCGAATGTTATATTTATTGTAAGTTATTTTGTGTTGTGGTGCAAAAAAGTACGAAAAATTCTCGCTAAGCATGACTGCATGTAGATGCAATAATGTCGACATTTTGTGTACTACGTGCCTCAGTCCTGACCCAAGACTTTTCCTTCAAGAAGTTGATCTATAACTCATCATTATGCTGAAATGTTAAAAAAATAATAATGTGTTCTCTTTTCCTCTGACAGCGCCTATTTATTTATGCTTTGAATTTGTTTTCCAACTCCCGTCTCCTCGTCACCATGGTCACTATGTAATCAAAGGGAGATCACCCGAGAAACATGTACGTGTAGGCTACATCTTTATTTTCTCCTGAGTGGCCGTGTCGGAATAGCCTAGAATATTAAACAATTTACATCGGAGTCAACTACTAAGACGTATTTATAATGATTTTTTTTTGCCACCTTACAAAACATTAATGTCGTGAAGTTTGCATCGACAGCATACAAATGGTTAATGTTACGCAATAGAATCTATTATAACTATACATGTTTTATATTTATAAGCCATACCCAACATGCGTTTCAGAAATCGCCAGTGGCATTTTAAGACAAAAGATTAATTAATATTTATTAGTGAAAACCTTTACTGGTCCGAGACCTCTTAACATAAATTATGTTACGAAAAACTGAACCTAGAAAATTCGAGTTGACAGATCAAATAAACAATAGATTGATTTTACAGATCGCATGTAATTTTTGTGATAGGCCTCTACAAGAAAAATGTTCTATATCGTATAAACGAATAACTTACTACCAAGGCAGTGACAACTCTTTATGGTTTTAAGTAATTTCAGTATCGCATGCATGCTGTGACCTAGCCAACACATGAAAAAAAAATGTCAAAGGGAGGCTACTTGCTATCTCTTTCTATTTTGAGTTACTCCGCTTAAATGTAACAGGCCCAAGGGAGAGAGGGCAACCAAGATTAGCAAGCATTTTTATACATGTAGTAGTGTAAATTCATAAAGGGGGATTAGAGCATTGATATAAAATAAGAAGCAAAAAAAAAAAAAAAAAAAAAGACAGGGGTTATTGGGAGGAGGGGGGGGGGGGGTTCGGGATTCCCACTCTCACTCATTAAATACGTGGGACAATTCGCCCAATTACTGCTGCCATTTAAACAAGAAAGTAGTGAAGTGAATAAATAAAAATGTCAATTATATTAGTCCTTATATATATTATATAGTATAAAAAAAATAAATTCAATTTAGCAGTTTTCATTTTTTTTCAATCTCCTTGAAAAAAAAATTAATTTAAAAACGATTGATATTTCGTGACTCGGTCATTGCATAAATTTATTATAGATCCCAGGCCCGTAGGTAGCAATATCAGTTGGGGGGGGGGGGGAGCCATACATTTTCAGTTGGGGGCACTATCAACTACCAAAATTCCTTGACAAGCAAAAAAAAAAAGGGGGGATCAGAAATTTTTATTGACAGGGCACAAGCATATAGTAACTTTGTTTTATATAGTATACTATATATCGGCAAAATTATTGGGGGGGGGGGGTGGCCATGTATCCTGAATGTATTATGATAATTAACGGATATAACTGCTAATTTTGCCTGCATGTATATCATTTGTTTGTTTGTTTGTTTGTTTTTTGAAAGGATGTCTATATAGAATATAACTTTATAGATCGGGCATTTGAACATGATTTTTTTTTGGGGGGGGGGGGTTTATGGTAATATGTCCCTCGACATGTGGTCTATAATTTTTTTAGCGGTCTGTAATGATTGCCATTTACTACTGCCAGTAGCTGTTTTTCGTATATTTTTGTTTAATTACAAAGAGTAACGCTCCGAAGACGTCCAAGTTAAAAATCTCATATATGCAATATGTATACGATATTATGATTATTTTATCGACTTCTGTACATGTACTCATTATCGTCTATCTGTTTGTAGTTGTGTTAGAAATTGCACATGGAGAAACGATCGAAATGTTATTTTAAATATTTGAAAATTATAAGTAAAATGTTAAAACTGGCTTTGCACTATATGAAAGTCTTAGTTGTTGTTATGTTTCAATTTAATTTTCACTTCTCACCAGATAATCATTACTCTATGATTTTATTAAAAGGGTTTATAATATAGGTACTCCCCAAAATGGGAGTGTGTAAGATATGATAATATGATAAGAAAACGATTAGTTAGCAATAATTAATTCGATCGTTTTTTTTGTTTTTTTTTGTCATCTGAAGTCTCTTTTCATACCTATTGTGGGTATATAAAAACGTTTCTCTTTGATGATATAACATATTTATCATAATTAGTGAACTGTATTTCGATTAAGTAATTTACATTGAGTAAAGTGGTATTCTGCCATTTCCGTTTATCTTGTTTTTTTTTTTTTTTAACTTCAGGTTCCGTTTTGAAATTCAAATACTTCGGAAATCTTGTGTTTTCGTTGGACTCTTAATTTTTTTTGCGGCCGATTTGATGCTTTGTATCACTCTTGTTTAAAAGTCTGTAGTGGCTTCTTTCCTGTCAATCTGTGGTGCGCAGGATTACCGTCAAACATCACTATTTTACGTGTATTACATGTATGAACTACAATTTCATTTCAAATGTCCGGGAAATGGCATAAATTACGGAAGTGCAACGAAATTCTCAAAATGACAATAAAATAGATGGTAACTTCAAACGTATTCATTTTTAATGCAACTTTTCATTTTAATTTTATGTTTTTGTTATTAAAGAGAACTTGTGTCTTTTCTGAAAAAAAAAGAGTCCATTTTTTAATGTTTGTACGCCGTATGACCATACAATAATACATTTAAGAACGATAAAATCCTTACCCATGGCTACTATGGTATATATTTTACTCCATTAATTCAGTTTTACTCAAATATGACGGATTAACACGTTGTGTTTGTTTTCAGCTTAACGTGTCTCTTATTATCATTTAAAACGTGTTACATGTATCAACGATTATACCAGACAACCGTTGTGTATTATAACAAATATTTGGCATTTCTTTAGAGTACAAATAGCTTTAATTAAAAAATAAACCAAAGGTTT